GACCCCGGCTTGTCTGACTACTCTTTTGTTTCTTCCACCAGCTACACGCCATTGGCGGCGGCCATTACCGCAGCTGAGGTGTCTTGGGGGCCGCGACCTGGTTCCTGGCTGCGTCAAGTCCATCCCCACCATCAGGGGCCCTGGTGAAGGGCAGCCTGGGACTTAGACTCCGCGCCCTGAGGGACTCCGGTCTGTGGGTGGTGGTTTGTTGTCAGCCAGTGCGTTACATTGTTAGGCCTGCCTGTCCGTTCCTCGGCTCCTGCCCTGACATTACACAAGTGCCATGAACCCTGACGGTGCAGGCACGCCTTCGCTCCCAACGCTAGTCGCCAGACTCGATCAACAGGATCACCTGTTGGATCAGTTCGCTCAGGCGTTGCAAACTCTGCTTGCACGCACTGCACACCTTGCTCCTGGTGCTATTAGGCCGGTAGTCACACCGGTGGTCTCTCCCGCTGCTTCTCCGCCTATTGCGTCCACCACCTCGGTGGCTGCATCAGCGGCACCCAGAGGTATGACTGGCTCTGCCCCTCTTCCACAGCGCTTTGGGGGTGAGCCGAGTCAGTGTCGTGGGTTCCTCAACCAGGTGGGTATTTATTTTGAATTAATACCCCACGCCTTCCCGTCTGAGAGGTCAAAGGTTGGGTTCCTAATTTCACTACTCTCAGACAAGGCCTTGGCCTGGGCAAATCCCTTATGGGAGAGGAACGACCCGGTGATTCAAGGTTTTTCCGGTTTTGTCGATGCCTTCCGTAGGGTATTCGACGTACTGGCTCGTTCCGCCTCGGCGGCCAAGCTGCTCATGACCATGCATCAGGGTTCACGGACCATGGCCGAGTACGCCATAGAGTTTCGTACCCTGGCGGCAGAGGTCGGTTGGAACAATGAGGCTCTGGTGGCTGCGTTTTCCCATGGTCTTTCTGACACACCAAAGGACGAGATTGCAGCCAAGGAACTGCCTGTGGTGTTGGAGGAGCTCATCTCTTTCCTGATCCTGATTGACACCAGGCTCAGGGAGAGGCCTTCACTCAAGGAACGCCTGCGGAGGCCTTCCAATCGACTGGCACCTGCGTTTTCTGTCCCACCCGTTCCTCCCTCTCCTCCCACGCCTCCTGGGGATGGATTGTCTGGTGGTGAGCCCATGCAGCTGGGGTTTGCTCGCCTTTCCGAGGGGGAGCGGGCCGCTCGGCGTCGGGAGGGTCGCTGCCTGTACTGTGGTCTTGGTGGGCACTTTCGGCAGTCCTGTCCGGTCCGTCCGGGAAACGCTCGCACCTGAGATCCTGTCGGGGACAGATCTTGGGTGGAGTCTCCTCGTCCCCGGCGTTCCGCAGAGATAAGCCACTGATCACCGTTGTCCTCTCTTGGGCGGAGGGCTCGGTGACGGCCCAGGCATTGGTAGATTCTGGGGCCAGCGGGTTGTTTATGGACAGCTCGTTTGCTGCCCAGCACTCCATTCCCCTGCAGGATCGAGTTACCCCATTGGTTCTCGAGGCGATAGATGGCAGGCCCCTGCAACCACCGCAGGTTACCCACGAGACTGTGCCAGTGGAAGTAGCTATTGGGGCTGTTCACAGGGAGTTGGCCTGTTTCCAGGTGATTTCTTCTCCGCACTATTCGGTGGTTTTGGGGTATCCCTGGCTCCAGATGCACAATCCAACCTTCAATTGGCAAACAGCCGAGATTCTCTCGTGCTCTCCACAGTGTGGGGCCGGGTGCATCCGTGGGCCGGTTAAGGTGTTGTGTGCCTCCTCGGACTCTGCGTTGCCCTCTGATTATGGGGAGTACCAGGACGTGTTTGATAAGGTACACGCTGGTGCCTTACCTGCTCATCGTCCTTACGACTGCGCCATATCCTTGCAACCCGGTGCCACTCATCCGCGTGGCAGGGTGTATCCTCTCTCGGTTGCGGAGAATAAGGCCATGGAGGGAATACGTTGCGGATGCGCTTTCCCGGGGGCACATTCGTAAGTCTACTTCCCCAGCAGGAGCGGGCTTTTTCTTTGTAAAGAAGAAGGGTGGTGAATTGAGGCCTTGCATCGATTATAGGGGTCTTAATCGAATCACCACTAAGAATGCCTACCCGATTCCCTTGATTACTGAGTTATTCGACCGCCTTAAGGGGGCAACAGTCTTTACCAAACTTGACCTTAGGGCGGCGTACAACCTCGTATGGATCAAACAGGGGGATGAGTGGAAGACCGCGTTTTAACACCAGAACCGGTCACTACGAATACCTGGTGATGCCCTTCGGGTTGTGTAACGCGCCCGCAGTTTTTCAGGAATTCGTAAACGATGTCCTTCGTGATTTGTTGCAGCAGTGCGTGGTAGTTTACTTGGATGACATCCTGGTTTACTCTGCCTCCATGGAGTCCCATATCCAGGATGTCAAGCAGGTGCTGCAACGATTACGTGAGAACGAACTTTTTTGTAAACTTGAGAAGTGCGAATTCCATCGATCCCAAGTTGCCTTTTTAGGCTACATCAGTTCTGCGGAGGGATTCTCCATGGACCCTCAGAAGGTTTCGGCGGTTCTGCAGTGGCCTCGTCCCAAAGGTCTTCGGCCCATTCAGCGCTTTTTGGGTTTTGCCAACTACTATCGGAAGTTCATCCGGAACTTCTCCACGCTGGCAAAGCCTCTCTCAGACCTAACCAAGAAGGGCAGTAATCCTCACGAGTGGCCACCTGAGGCCATCGTAGCGTTCGAGGCTCTGAAATCCGCCTTTGCGTCGGCTCCGATACTGTCTCTCATCCCAATCCTGGATTGCCCTTTGTCCTTGAGGTTGATGCATCCGAGACGGGAGTAGGCGCTCTCCTGTCTCAACGTCGGTCGCCCGATGGACCCCTACTTCCCTGTGGGTTCTACTCCAGGAAGCTTTCCTCTGCAGAGTGCAACTACCAGATTGGAGATCGGGAGTTGTTGGCAATCATTCTGGCTCTCAAGGAATGGAGGCACCTGCTCGAGGGCTCTGCGGTTCCGGTCCTCATTCTTACCGATCATAAGAACCTGACTTATCTTTCGGAGGCCAAAAGATTGACACCCCGCCAGGCCAGATGGGCTCTGTTCTTGTCACGCTTCAACTATGTGGTTTCATATTTGCCTGGTTCCAAGAATGTCAGGGCTGATGCGTTATCACGGCAATACTCTGAGTTGTCCAGGGAAGACTCTGAGCCAATCTCGGTTATTCCTCCAGATCAGATCCTGGCTGCCATTCGCACCAGTCTGACCTCTCCTCTTGGGGAGCAGATTTTGGCGGCCCAATCTGATGCTCCCCCCGGAGGCCGGAGGGTAGATGTTTTGTACCCGAGGGATTGCGCACCCGCCTGCTGCGTACCTACCATAACGCCAAAACTGCCGGGCATCCGGGGAAGAACCAGCTGTGTTGGGTCGTCTCTCGCTTATTCTGGTGGCCAACCCTCCGTGCCGACATTGCCTCTTATGTAGCGGCATGTTCGATCTGTGCCCAGAATAAGCCTCCACGGCATCTCCCTTTGGGTCTTCTGCAACCCATTCCCAATGGGGAGCGTCCTTGGTCACATCTAGGGATGGACTTTATTGTAGACCCCCCGGTGTCTCGGGGTCATACGGTCATCCTCATGATCGTCGATCGGTTTTCCAAGATGTGCCATTGCATTCCACTCAGGAAATTACCCACAGCGCAAGAACTGGCCACGGTCTTTTCCAGGGAGATTTTTCGCCTGCATGGGTTGCCTAAGGTGATTGTCTCGGACCGCGGGAGTCAGTTTGTGTCCAGATTCTGGCGCGCCTTCTGCTCCCAGTTGGGTATTAGTCTCTCCTTTTCCTCAGCCTACCACCCGCAGTCCAATGGGGCTGCGGAGCGTTCCAATCAGGCCTTAGAACAATTCCTTCGATGTTATATTTCAGACCATCAGGACGATTGGGCCGATCTCCTGCCTTGGGCAGAGTTTGCCAGGAACTCGGCGGTCAACTCCTCCTCCGGGATGTCGCCCTTCATGGCCAACTATGGGTTCCAACCCGCAGTATTACCTGAGAGGTTCTCACCACAGGACATTCCGGCTGTGGAGAACCATCTTGCTGCCCTGCGTTCTTCATGGGGGCAGATCCAGAGGGCCTTGAGGGACTCAGCTCAGCGCCAAAAGTTCCAGGCTGATCGCAGACGGTTGCCCGCTCCTTCATACCAGGTCGGCGATCGGGTGTGGTTGTCTACTCGCAACCTCAATCTTCGGGTGCCCACACCCAAACTAGCTCCCCATTTTGTCGGTCCTTTCCGCATTCTCCGCAAAGTGAATCCGGTGGCCTATGCCCTTGCCCTTCCGTCTGGGATGCGGATCTCCAATATCTTTCATGTTTCCCTGTTGAAACCTCTGATCTGCAATCGCTTCACTACCTCTCTGCCTCGGCCCCGTCCTGTCCGGGTTGACGGTCATGAGGAGTATGAGGTGAGCCGGATCCTGGACTCTCGATTGGTGCGCGGTCGATTACAGTTCCTGGTTCATTGGCGCGATTATGGTCCTGAGGAGCGTTCCTGGGTTCCTTCCGCGGATGTCCATGCTCCTGCCCTCCTCCGCGCTTTTCATACCCGCTTTCCTCAGAAACCTTTTGTTGAGCCACGGAGGGGGAGGGGTCCTTGAGGAGGAGGTACTGTCAAGGTCCTACCTTTTCCCTGAGGTTATGTTACCCCATGTGCTGGCGTCCATCTTGGATTCTGCTGTGCATGATGGGAGTCCTTTTTATGCCTTCAGGTCTCTGAGGTCCACCCCCCAGAGGGGCGTGGCTGATGACATATAAGCCTGTGGCCCGCACATGCTCTTTGCACTTGTGTCTTGTGTCTTTGTGTTACTATTACTCTGTTCTGACTCTCGTGACTCTCCTGGTATTCTGATTCGGCTTGTGACTTGACTATTCTTTGTATTCTCCTTTGATCTGACCCTCTGTTGCTGAACCCGGCTTGTGACCTGTGATTCTCGTCTGCTGTCCTGTACTGTTTTGTCCTGTTGTTGTTGACCCCGGCTTGTCTGACTACTCTTTTGTTTCTTCCACCAGCTACACGCCATTGGCGGCGGCCATTACCGCAGCTGAGGTGTCTTGGGGGCCGCAACCTGGTTCCTGGCTGCGTCAAGTCCATCCCCACCATCAGGGGCCCTGGTGAAGGGCAGCCTGGGACTTAGACTCCGCGCCCTGAGGGACTCCGGTCTGTGGGTGGTGGTTGTTGTCAGCCAGTGCGTTACATTGTTAGGCCTGCCTGTCCGTTCCTCGGCTCCTGCCCTGACATACAGACAGCAATTAAAACTGACAAAAGTTCAAATTCCTTTCCAGTCTATCCAAAACTGAAAAAAAAGTTTTGCCTTTAGTTACACTTAATAAAAAGAAAATAAAGTGTACTTTTTTAAAGACACCACATGAAATTTGTAGGGATTCACTTAGCAAAAACCTTATCTTTTTTCATGACAGTTTGGAAGACAGGGAGAGTTTGGATATTTCAGCCATCAATTCTGAATAAATGCTGTTTGTACTGTTCTCAAAAGCATTAAAAAAAATAAGCAGAATATTTTCTGAACATGCTTTGGGATGTGATGGGGTTTTGGAAGTAGACAATAGGCATATTTCCTTTTTAATAGTATTACATTTTGGAAATAGAGAGAAGTCAGCTCAAAATATTAAATTGTACTGTTATTTTTTCAGTTACATAATTTATTTTTATATCCTCCTGTAGATAGCTAAGGTGTACAAATTAGCTTACAAATTGTAAAGCATATATTTTGGCCGCAAAGTCAGTTAGCAAATGAGAATGGGTAGTTTCCATCTAAAGATAACACACAAAAAAACGCAGTGCAAGGACCTTGATAGTATATATGTGTCCTTATAAACAGCCCAGATGATGATGTTGATGGTATTATGGATTACTTGGCTTTGAATTGTGAGCTAATTCCAATGCCACACATGATGCTCAACTACATTGTCCAAGCAATAAACACTCTTATGGTGGTGTTCAATTAATGTGTCTGAATGGTAATTTCATTTTAACTTGTTGCCGACCGCAGATAGCCGAATGACGGCTGCACTGCAGCTGGCCAGTTCTGAGTGGACGTCATATGACGTCCCCCCAGAACGCGCTCTCCTGCGCTGTCAGATCGTGAGGAAAGTACTGCCGAGAACCGGCAGTTGTCAGAGCGGGGATCGGCACCGATCATCAGGGCACTGATGATCAAATTTTTGGCAATTTTTTTTTATAGCGCAAAAAGTAAAGCGCCCAGTGGCGATTAAATACCACCAAAAGAAAGCTCTATTTGTGAGAAAAAAATGATCAAAATTTCATATGGGTACAATGTTGCATGACCGCGCAATTGTCAAAGTGCGGCAGCGCTGAAAGCTGAAAATTGGCCTGGTAAATAAGGGGGTATAAGTGCCTGGTAGGCAAGTGGTTAAAATCCAATGGACACTTTATTGAGTCAATAAGGGGTTAAAAACAAAGTCCATGGTTATTAAATGATATCCACATAAATGCAGCAATCATAAATAGTGCTTACACTGGTTTCTGCAGTGTGCAGGGGATGATAAGCATATCTAAACCATGGGGGCCATCTTGTCTGAGGCATGCTCTCACAAACAGCCCAACCAGCAGGTATATTGTGTGGCAAGATCTGTGCTTCCTGGAAGGTGAGAGTGGAGGAAGCTGCAGCATTCAAGCACGAGGGGACAATGGAGCTGCTCTGTTGGACCAGAAGTGCATTACTGATAACAGGAAGTCCTCAGGTGGCCATATTGCCGAAGTCCATAGTGCTAGTGAGTATGCAAGGTCTCTAAGTTTACATGTTACATGTCTTGAATCCCAACCACGGTATCACCTGCCTGGGGTTTGCATGTTCTCCCTGTGCCTGCGTGGGTTTCCTCCGGTTACTCCGATTTCTTCCCACACTCCAAAGACATGCTGGTAGGTTAATTGGATCCTGAATAAATTGTCCCTAGTATGTGTATGTATGAATGTGAGTTAGGGACCTTAGATTGTACGCCCCTTGAGGGTTAGGGACTGATGTGAATGTACAATAAAAATATATATGTAAAGCACTGTGTAAATTGACAGCGCTATAGAAGTACCTGTAATAATAAATAATAATATACTTTAGTGTATATCAGGGGCGGACTGACCATTTGGAAACTCGGGCACTGCCCGAGGGCCTGGGGTCAGTAGGGGGCCCCATGAGATGCCCCTGGTACCTTTTTCATAGGCTTTTTTGAGTGTGGGCAAGGACACAGGGGCCCCATGATCCCCTATTGCCCAGGGGCCCCATGAGTTGTCAGTCCGCCCCTGGTGTATATCCAATCGATCATTCTCAGATTTACTTCAACTCTGTGTCTCCTTGTGTCTGGTACTTCGATGATTGTTTAACATGAAGATCCGCATGGTTTTACACAAAATACAAAATATCAATAAAGAAGAACCACACCAAGTGTTTTGGATTGAGGCTAGAATACATCATAGAAGGATGTGCTTTGTTCATTGTTCATGTCTGAGGTTTACAACCACTTTAAACCTAGAGAAATATTGTTGCAGAGCACAGGACACTACCCTGCCAAAAATGTTTGATTCTGTGAATCAGCTGCATAAACATTGGGCTTAGGGTGTCACACAGAAATACTCATAACCAGCACAGGTTTTTATCTGCCCACATAATTGAAATATACGTATAAAAAAAACAACATTTATTGATTAAAAATTAAAAACAACTCAACTTTTTTGGTGCACAAAACAGGTGCACACTATATATAAACATGTACAGTTGAAACCAACCAACAATATGGCTGACAGAATCCTTTCGGTTTGTGCAGCGTGACGTCACCAGCTCCTCCCTACGCGTTATATCATAAGGTCAAGTGACTTCATCAGGGTATCCGTAATGAATTTCAGCCAGCCTCACAAGGACTGTGCATGACTTTCTGAAATGGCTAAAAAAGTTTTCTCAGCTGCCTCAGAAGCTCTTGTAAGCCAGGGTACTTATCCAGGAAGCATTTCATTACCATGTTGAGGACACAGGTTTAATTCTTACTGCCGAAAAGCAGACAGCAGGTTGTTGCCATTGTCACATACAACCTTTCCTGGCAAGAAGAAATGGGGTTAACCACATCTGAACCTGCCCCTGCACTGCTGACAGAATCTCTGCCCTGGTGTGGCCTTTTAGGAATACCAGCTGCAGCATTGCATGACATCACTTTGCTTGAGCTGTTGCATAGCCTTTTGAATGCTTGTGGGGTATTGCTGGCTCAAAAGATGTCCCACCTGAAGAAGACATTGAGGAGGAATTGGAAGCAATTGCACCACCACCAGCTGTAAGGATATGGAGCAGCCCAATCAGCTCCAAGGTGTGCCCTGTTCTGTATCCTTCCCAGCTGCCAGCAGAGGTACCTGTGGTTCATGAAAGACATATACTAGCCTTGCCCATACCTTCTGTACCACATGTCTGTGGTCACATGGACCCTCCTGCTGACTTCATAGTCTAGTGAAAACTTTACTTTCCACATAATGGTGGAAGGTAGGAATGGACTTACAGACAGATAAATTGTGTCAATAAACCTGCCACTGTGTTAGAATGAAGGCTGCAAAATCACAAAAGAGGGCTTAATCAACCAGATGGGAAGGCAAAAGCTGTAAAGTGACTTTTCCAAGCCGTTTCAGCAGCTGGGGTAAAGACACATGCCTGCTGATTGCTACAGCAGGAGATGTCAATTTGGGGTTGGCGGAAGGAAGCATGAAGTGCTCCAAAATCTCCTGGTAGACGGCTGCGTTGACCCTGGACTTAATGAAGCACAGTGGACCAACACTAGCAGATGACATGGCTCCCCAGATCAACACAGACTGTGGAAACTTCACACTGGACTTCAAGCATCTTGCAGTGTGTGCCTCTCCATTCTTCCTCCATACTCTGGGTCCTTGGTTTCCAAATGAGATGCAAAAGTTGCTCTCTTCAGGAAAGAGGACTTTGGACCACTGAGCAACAGACCAGGTCTGTTTTTCTTTAGCCCATGTAAGACGCTTCTGATGTTGTTTGTTGTTCAGGAGCGGCTTGAGAAGAGGAATATGACATTTGAAGCCCATGTCCAGGATCCGTCTGTGTGTGGTGGCTCTTGATGCACGGACTCCAGCCTCAGTTCACTACTTGTGAAAGTCCCCAACACTTTTGAATGGCCTTTTCCTGACTATCCTCTCCAGGCTGCGGTCATCCCTGCTGCTTGTGCACCTTTTTCTTCTACACTTTTACCTTCCACATAACTTTCTATAAATGTTCTTTGATACAGAACTTTGGGAACATCCAACTTCTTTTGCAATTACCTTTTGAGGCTTTCCCTCCTTATGAAGGGTGTCAATGATGCTTTTCTGCACAACTGTCAGGTCAGCAGTCTTTCCCATGATTGTGATTCCTACTGAACCAGACTGAGAGACCATTTAAAGGCTCAGGAACCCTTTGCAGGTGTTATGCCTTAATTAGCTGATTAGAGTGGGACACTTTGAGCCGAGAATATTGCACCTTTTCACAATATTCTAATTTTCTGAGATTGTGGATTTGGGGTTTTCATGAGCTGTAAGCCATAATCATCACAATTATGACAAATCACGGCTTGAACTATCTTGCTTTGCATGTAATGAGTCTATCTCATATACAGTATTAGTTTCACCTTTTAAGTTGCATTACTGAAATAAATGAACTTTTGCACGATATTCTAATTTTTCGAGTTTCACCTGTAAATGATGTGGTAAACAGTTGCAATGAAATTAAATGATTCAGGAATTTCAAATTTGTTATTTTCAATATTATAATGAACATTTTCATCCTGCAGTCACTGGATGCCAACGGATGGAGAGGAGGAGAAGTTGAATTTTGTCAGTTGCAGGAGGAAAATGGAGAGGATCAGTTCCTGTATATGCTGCCCGCCACCCCTTCTCTCCAAGTGTAAAACAGAATGTGACAGGGAGACCGCACAGGCCCTTGGAGCATGGGGCAGGGTCGCCATTGCAATCCCTGATGCTACACCAGTGGTTGGAGGAGGTATGGTAAAACACATCTCAACTTTGGGGTTTTACCACCCCCAACCTGCAAATGTAAACGAGCCCTTACTGTTCTGAGCCCCCTATAAGGCTGTTTGCACACTGATGCAC